TTGCACTGACCCACTGTTCCAGGCACAGCAGGGCCGGAGCTCCCTGATCCATAAACCGAGATTTATTCCAGATCGCAGCACCAGCGGGGTCTGGGATTTACATCTGTGGCTCGGGCCGGGTTTGGTGGCCAATTTGCTAAAGTAAAAAGTTGTTTAGCTGGAGGCATAATCTCATAAGCCCGTGCTGCCATTAGCCGGGGTCTCCTCTCCGCCTGGCTTTCCAATAATGCTCCGAGCAGAAGCTCGGAGTAATATAAAAAGCCATTGGATTATTACTGCGGGCGATGCATTTTCCATTTACAGTAATAAAATACTGAAGAAACAAAACAATTTAAAATTCCAATAAAATTCAAACCAAATCTTTGGCTGCTGAGCAGATTCAATTATTTAGCTGTTATTGAGTGCAGGCTGGAAAAATAGAGCAGGTCAGGGAGGGAGGGGGAGCTGGGAGCCTGGGGAGTGCTGGACTCATCCCGTGGGAATGCCAGTGAGGGAGGGAGCTGGGAGGCAGCAGAACATCTGGGAGAAGCTGTTGGTGGATGCTTGTTGCTGCCAGTGGCTGGATTTGGTTTAGGGATGGCAAGAGCCATGGGGGTGGCGTGTGTCGGCCCCCGGCGGTCTGTGGCACATCCCACTCAGCCCTGGCGTGTCGGCTCCGATGGTCCGAGTTCAAGAGGAGGTGGGCGAGGGGGACAAACGCGGCGGTGAGTGGCTGTGTCAGGGCTGGCTGTGCCTGACGGGTGACGCGGTGGCTCGGGCGAGTTTGCATCTCGCAGTAATTACAGCCCGTTGGAAAGCAGTAATTACTGCGGAGAGCGGGAGCGCCGCCGCCGCCGCCGCCGTGCCGGCAGCCGCCGGGAAATCGGCCTCTCTGTAATTTTCCCGGCGGGGGTTCGGTGCGTCACCCTGATATGTGACAACACACCGAATTGGTGGCTTGTCACATCCAACCCAGCTGGTGCAAAGAGGTGACAAAGGCGGCTGAGGGCTCCCTCCAGCCGGGCACACACCGGCACTGGGGGTGGCGGGTGGGATGCCCTTGGCCAGGCTTGGCTCACCAGGACTACAGCAGTGGGCAGTGCCAGGGGGCTGCACAGGGCCATCCCAAAAGTGTCACCTGCAGCCCCAGTGCTTGGGGACGGGGCTTTGGTGACATGTGCCGGGGAGCCGCAGTGACACCGGCGCCTCACTCCCTTCAGCAACAGCCCCTTGTTTTTTAATATTTTTCCTTGGAAAGGAGCATTTCCCTGGAATGTACTCATTAGGGATTCTGCAAGTGTCACCAGCTAATTAGTGTCGTGTTAATTGAGTATTCACGATGCTGCCACCTCCAAGGACAGCGGTGCCAGCATGAAGGGGAATGCAGATGTGCGTGGCTCACCATGCCGTGCTGTGCTCTGCTGGTGCTGCGCCGTTCCATTCCGTGCCGTGCCATGCCGTGCCATGCCATTCTGTGCCATGCCATGCCGTGCCACTGGGCAGGGTAGTCCTGCTCACAGCCCAATGCACTCGCTGGCTTGGGGGGTGCCCGTGCCCCGCAGAACCCACCATGCACACTCACATGTGCCCACGCGCCTCACCAGCTGCTCTGCAGGTGTGCCAGAGTTTTCCAGAGGCTGCCCAGTTGGTGCCCGGGATGTCCCTGGCAGGGCCAATGCCACACACCCGCACGTGTTCTGCCAGAGGGAGCTGCTGTTGCTGTGCCCTCCTGTCTCCCGGCAGCTCCATTAAATCCTACTCAAAGGCACTGGTTTTAATTGGCTTAATACACTCGTTAATAACAGTGTCTATTTAAGACACCTGTAAAAAGCCCATAACATCAGCTTAATGGGGGGAATGGCTGGCGCAGGCACTGCGTCCTGCCTGTTCAATTACTGCGCTGATGGAGAGCTTAGAGAGAATAGAGAGCATGGAGAGCTTGGAGAGCATGGGGAGCATGGAGAGCTTGGAGAGAACAGAGAGCATGGAGAGCTTGGAGAGAGCCCATGGCATCGCTGCTGCCTCCCCCACAAACACCTCTCTGATGCTGGGGGGTGACGTGGTGCCCTACGGCTGCAAATGCCCCCCTCCCCTGAATCCTGGTTTTAACACAGTGCCTGTTTCATCTGAGCATGCCACAGCCATGGAAACATCACTCGGAACAGGACTGGGACAGGAAATGCCTTTGTTGGGGTGCGAAATGCACCCAGTGGTGCAGCTCTTCTGTGGTGACTTTGCCACCCAGCACGTGGTGGCATCAGGAATCGCTGGTCCTGGTGGATCGGGAGCACAGTACTCCCCAGCAGGGAGGCTGCAGTCCCCTGCCCCCAGATACGGGGGTCTGCACACCCCGGGATCCTCAAAAAGGGTTCCTGGGAGGGCTGGGTCTCCTTGGTGGGGGCTGCCAGCCCCAACCCCCCAATTTGACCATCTCCACCTTGCAAAACCTTCCTCTGAGCAGGCACCAGGTCTGGCATTCCTGGTGTGCCACAGACATCCCTTGGCAGGGCTGGGAGTTTGGGGACCAGCTGGGAACCATCATTCCCATGTGCCGACGTGTACGTGCATGTGCTTCTGTGTGTGTGTGTAGATTTTAAACACCTAATTTATTCCATCTATTAGATAGATTTTGTAGATTTAATCATTTTCACAGTTGGTGGCTCATTGGATACTCAAGATAAACTCCAAATGAAAGTATAATGGGAACGACAAATGAGTTTTCACACCAGAATGGCAGAAACTTGCTCAGGAAAGAGTTTGAAAGGAACAAAACTATATACATATATAATTTTTTTTTCTGCAGTGGCTTTTGCTGACTCCAGTAGGTTACCACAGTTAATTTCACCAGTTTTGTTCATCTGTAAAATTGCATAAAAGTGACATTTTTGTGCTCATTATAGGAACTGCTGATTTATGGCTGGTAAATGCAATGCTTTTCCATTTTTGGTGAGGTTCTCGTAGCAGCGCAAAGCACCCATGAAATTGCTTGTATAATGTAGTTTAAATCCAATCTCGGAGAAAGATTCCCCCGTTGGGTAAAGTGACATTTCCATTCTCCACACCGAGTTTATTTTAGGCCACTTACAAGTGACTCCGTCAGCAGGAGGGGGCAGGTTGGTGCCGTGACCTGGTTTCTGCCGGGAGCGAGTGGGATCCGGTGGGGGGGTGGTGGGTGCAGGGGTGCCAGGTCCCTTCGTCCCAGCAACGCCAGATTCACCCTACCCTTTGCCCCCGCAGGTGAGACGGTGGCACCGATGCATTCCCCGCGCTACCCCAGCCCCGCCGAGCTGGACGCCTACGCACAGAAGGTGGCCAACAGCCCACTGACCATCAAGATCTTCCCCACCAACATCAGGGTCCCCCAGCACAAGCACCTTAACCGGACGGTCAATGGCTACGACACCACAGGGCAGCGGTACAGCCCCTACCCCCTGCACGCCGGCGGCTACCAGGGTCTGCTGGCCATCGTCAAAGCCTCCAGCAAAAGCGTGGTGAAGAACTCGGAGGGGAAGCGGACTAAGCTCTCGCCCGCCCAGGTGGGCGTCGCTCCCTACCCCGCCTCAAGCACTTTAGCTCCAGGTCCCTCCTGCGCCGGGCAGCTGAGCTACCACGGCAGCCAGAAGCAGCTGGAGGGTCCTGTGCCCAACGTGACGGTGGCGGCCTCGGTGCTGCCGCTGGCGGGCAGGAGCCTGGCCCTGCCACCCTCCAACCTGCCCTCCATCCAGAGCATCATCTACCAGATCAATCAGCAGTGCCAGGCGCAGGGTGCCCAGCCGGGCTGCCCGGCCGTCGTGGCCGCCCACCCCAGCCCAGCCAAGCACGGCGCCTTCGGCACCGCCTACGCCGGCACCGTCCTGCCCGAGTGCCGCAAGGGCGCCGACCTGGCACTGGGCTCCAACCCGGCCGCTGCCCTGGGACCCAAGGCAGGCGTCTACCCCGAGGGCATGGACTACCTGGTCTGGCAGCAGAAGCAGCAGCAGCAGCACCTGCGAATGTACAGCGGGGGCAGCGGCGGTGGGGGGGCCCTCAGCAAGTCCCCCGAGACGTGCGCGGGCGCCTCGCGCCCCTACGGCCTGGGCGGTGCGGCTGAGAAGGTGAGCTCGTCCCCCTTGAACTGCATGCACGGCAACTTCTCAGTGGGGCAGTACTTCGCTCCCCCTTGGAACAGCATCCTGGTGACCCCCAACAGTGACTGTTACAACCCGCCGGAGTTGGGGGCCGGGCCCCGTGAGCTGGGGGTGCCCCCGGCTGAGGGGCTGCCCAGCAAGACGCTCTGCAATACCTCCATCCTCAGCAGCAGCCTCCAGTCCCTGGAGTATCTCATCAACGACATCCACCCGCCCTGCATCAAGGAACAGATGCTGGGCAAGGGCTACGAGACCGTGTCTGTGCCAAGGCTCTTGGACCACCAGCACGCCCACATCCGCCTGCCCGTCTACAGATAAGGGACCGATGCTGCTCTTCCCAAACCCAGGGCGAGGACTTTGGCACGAGCCGCGCTCCCCTCCGGCACTGTGCCGGTACTGGACCGCGGAAGCGAGGGCGGGGGGACAGGGAGGGGGACACGAGGTCGGCTGCCTAAAGGGCTCCTGGGACACTGGCATTTCACCGGGGTCCCCAAACTGGATACACCTGCGACCTGCTGGAAGCCGAGGCTGAAGGACTGCTTGTCTATATAGCTCAGAAATCATTTTATCTCCACGAATGTGAACAGGGAATTGCTACGAGTTGCTGCTATCCAGGGAGGGGAGGCTCTGCCACGCACTGGCAGCGCCGGGTCCGTGCGGGACAGAGCCCTGTGCCGTGGCTGGCCAGGAGGCTTCATGGTGGGTCCCGGCCCAGCTGTGGCCAGGAGGCTCCATGGTAGCCAGTCCTAGCCCAGTGGTGGCCAGGAGGCTCTGTGGTAGCCAGCCCTAGCCCAGTGGTGGCCAGGAGGCTCCATGGTGGCTGGTCCCAGCCCAGCCATGGCCAGGAAGCTCCACAGTGGCCGGTGCCAGCCCAGTGGTGGCCGGGAGGCTCCATGGTGGCCAGTCCCAGCCCGGTGGTGGCCGGTCCCAGCCCAGTGGTTGCCAGGAGGCTCCATGGTGAGTAGTCCCAGCCCAGTGGTGGCCGGTCCCAGCCCGGTGTGTGGCCGGCGTGTGGCCGCAGGGAGCTGCCACCTGACCTGTAGCTGAAGTCCGTAACTTGCACTGCTTTGATTAAAGCTAATAACTGGGGACAGTCTGGAGGCTATTTAAGAAAAACACTTGAAAACTTGAACAGATTTTTTTGGGTTTTTTTTGGTTTTTTTTTTTTTAATTTTTTTTTTTAGTTGACTAGGCTGTACATCTACGTGTTGGCTGCTACAGAGTCTCCTCCCACCCCTCTTCCTCCTCATCCTCCTCCTCTCACCCGGCCCGGCGGTGGCCACCGGCTCCTAATCCCACTCAACCAGGAGGTTCAGGACCCTCTCTCCCCCTGGAACCCCCCGGCTCTCACACTTCCAGGCTGTTTTATTTCTCCCCCTTACTGTCAGTTCTACCTTGGTTCTGGGTTAGAGGTGACCATGGTACCAGGGCACTCACATACCTCCTTTTTTTCTCTTTTTTTTTAAAAAAAAACCCCAAACAATTCCAAAATGCTCATTATGGTCCGTTATTCACTCTGTGTAATTCCATGTTTAATAGATTTGTTCATTTAAAAAAGGCTCCTCACCACTAAATACAAAGTGTTTTGATGTTTAAAGGTAAAAGAAGAATAATATCCCGATGAAACCCAAGGTGATTGTGCTCGGAAAAGAGGTACTGTATCCCTGAAAGCCTGTTCAAGCACTAAGTGCATTTACAAATCTCTGAGAATGTTTTTTTTTTATACTAAAATTGACCATTATATTCTACTGTGAGAAGTGCTGGCTGCACTATATTGTTTTAAAAATGAGAAAACAAATGGAAAAAAAAAAAGGTAAAAAAGAAAAAAAAAAACCAACACAAAACCCGCAAGCCGTGTGTCCGGATGGTGTTTTTCCCAAAGTAAAACCAGGATCTCGCTGGATGTGTGCTCTGGAGTCTCTTTGCTTTTGCTGTGGCCTCCCCTGGGCCCCCCCAGAGCCGGGACCCCTCCCTGCTCCCTGCAGATTTTTAGGGCATGGAGGAGCACCTATAAATAACCTGTTAACGACACTGAGCCATTAATCAGTCCCCGGTGCCAGCCTCCGCCTCGCACCCAACAGGGCACGTGGCCCAGATCCCTGGGGATTAGGGCTGCGGCCTCACGTGCGCGCGTGGGATGCTCTGGGATGTTCGGCCCTCGCCACCCCGAGGCCCCAGTGGTGGCACTGGGATCAGGTACCGTGTCCCCCTCCCGCCACCATCACTGGTGCGGTGGTGGCACCTCCGCTGCCTTCTGTCATCCCTGGTGAGTTTCCACTGAGTTTCCCCCCTGGCAGGAGCATTCCTGGTGCCCAGGTGGGATGGGGGCTCTCCAAGAGCCCTGCTCTGGCTGGGGGGCTGCTCTCCTCTAAATCAGACCACCCCTGCTCTGCCTGTCAGCAGCTTTCCAGCCCCAACAGTGAGCCAGTTGCATTAGGATAACAGTATGAAGTCCCCAATAGCTCTGGGCTGTGGATGTGTCTCCCTGACCCCATGACCTGTGGCAGTGACATGCAGCTTGTCCTTATCCCAGCCAGAGAGGGGGCTGAGGGTGGGAAGGGCTCAGTTGTCCTCCTTGCATGGCTGGGAGGGCACAGGGATGGGATGGGATGGGATGGGATGGGATGGGATGGGATGGGATGAGATGAGATGAGATGAGATGAGATGGGACGGGAGGGAATGGAGTGGAATGGGAATGAGGGTAGGTACAGATACGGGGATGGAGATTAGGATGGAGATGGGATGAGGACAGGGATGAGAATGGAACATGGGCAGGGATGGGGATGGGATGGAATGAGTATGAGACAGGGATAGGGATGGGGATGGGACAGGGATGCGGATGGGGTTGGGATGGAGACAGGGACAGGGATAGGATGGGATGGGAATGGGGAAGGGGATGAGGATGGGGACAGGGATGAGGACAGGGTGGGGATGGAGATAAGAGAGGAATAGGGATGGGATGGGATGGGGACAAGGACAGGGATGGTCACACAGCCATGCACTTGGAGCTACCCCGTGGCTGTGGCTGCAGCCGGGGACGGCGGCTCCATTTGTCTTGTTTGCTCACCCGCCGTAACGGCGGCGCCGATATTTATGGCGTGGCGGGAGGGGACCGCTCCGTCACCGGCTGCGAGCGGCTGACAGCCGATCCAGGGAACAAAGAGAAATTGGGACAAAAGGAAATTTTCACAGAGGTTAATGTTACTGATGGGGGGTGCCACTGCCTGCCTGCGTGTTAAAATTAGTCCGTCTGGAGGAAGATCTTCACTCAGATCTTTGTCATTAAAAAGATGCCACATCAAAGGAATGTGAGGCTGGAGCGTGGCGGGGCTGGCGGGTCCCTCTGTGCTGGGTAGCCCCTCCCTGGGGGTCCCCCAGCGCCGAAGGGGGGGCCCTCTTGAGGCCGGGGTACACGGAGCTTCACTGGGGGCTCCGGGAGAAACTTTGCTCCACCAGCGGTGCCCGTGGGAGGGGGATTCATTAGCGCTGCCTCCATCAGATTTCCCAGCTCGCCATAAATCAGGGCGAGCGGCTGCGAGCGACGGCGCGATCCATCTTGCAGGTCTCCAAGTCATTACATTTCATTAGGAGGTGCGCGGGGTTTGTATTATTTAGCAGGTTAATTCTCCCCTCAGATCACTCCTTTGGAGGAGGATTTCAGTGCGTACCGGGAGACTTCAGCTGTGGAATGCAGAATAAATGGGTCCCTCCTTGGTGGCTCCTGCCTCCAGCCAGGACTGCTGCAGTGCCGGCCCTGGCGGGCACAGGTGAGCACATGGGGACTTAAAATGTGACAGACGCTCCTGGGAGATGGGGCAGGGACCACCGAGGTGCACCCCAGCACCCAGGGCAAAGCCACCACAACCCATCACCCTCCCATTCCTGTGGGGCGCAGCTCCCCATGAGCGCTGTGGGAACGTGCCGAGGGAAACGATGCTCTTCCTGGTCTGCAAACATCTTCCTATTCAAATAATAATAATAATTGCAATAATAATAATAATAATTTCTAAGGCAGGTGTGCATGAGGCTGATATTAAACTTAGTGGCTGCCTTTGCTGTTTGGGATCGAGGAGGAGAGACAAGCAGTATAAATTGCACGGCTGCAAAAGGACTTAAAAAACCCCATCTCTCATTTTGATTGATATTAGCTTCACAAATTAAGCTTTAGATTTATCTAAAAATAAATTTGCTTCCGCGCTCCGCATTCTGGATGACAAGTGCTTTTCTCTTCCCTTTGTTGGGTTTGTCATCCCTGGCAGGGCGGGGAGGGGAGGGGTGGGAGGGGGCCAGGACCGAGCACCCCCAGTTCGCTGGCCCCCGGGGTGCCCCCGCCCACCCCAGCTGAGGGTGCAACAGCTCGGGGCTTGGTGGGGCAGGGGGTAAAAGGGCTAAACTCGAATCCTGCAGCCCTGAAGGTGGCAGAGGTGTCCTGTGCTGGGATGTCACTGTGGTGGCCGCAGTGTCCCCATCCCCACCCAGCCACTGCAGGGTGATGGCTCAGGGTGCTGGGGCACAGTGACAGCCACCCTTCCCACATCCCAAATCCTTTTAAAGCACACTCACATGCAGCCCCTCAGCTTTGTGACATCAGGATTTGCACAGGAGGGGGAAAAATTGGTTTATATCTAATTTTACCGGAAAATCCCATGTCTGGTGCTGCAGCCCGGGGCAGCTGCAGTGGTGAGCCCATCTCCAGCACGCCAGATGGCTGAGTCCTCTTCCAGGGCTCCTTCAGCCACACCACATGGCCCAGCCAGGACTGGCCACTGGACCTGTAGCCACCCAGCCAGGTGAAAGCCAAGTTTATCATTTTTACCCAAGAATTGGCCTGGAAGGGGAGCAGCTCAGCTCCTCATTTGATTATGCAGCGGGAGCTGCCACCTCCGCCTCTCCCAAGGAGTGATAATGAAACATATTCATCCCTCACCCTGGGGAAATACTTAAACCACAATATGAGAGATGTATGTAAATCACATTTAAACGGAGACGGTGCCGTTAACGCTGACAGCGACTCATCACATTTGAAGATGAAGTGTCCCCATTGCTGCTAAAGCATTTGCTGAGCGAGCCGGGCTGCCCCCAAGGCCCTGGCCATGGTCTCTGCCACCATGTCACTTTCCCACTTAAATCGCTCCTTCACAGCTGCACAACGTCCAGTTGTTATAGGAAAGCGCACCCCCCGCTGCACGCGGGTATTAGATGAGAAGGAAAGGAGTTACAGAGGGGTGATGGATGGGATGGGGATTCACGGGGATGGGATAGGGTAGGGATGAGATGGGGAGGGGATGGGGAGCACCGGTTTGTTCCCGGTTCCACTCCCCCACCCCGGACACCCAGTTCCCCCGCCCCGGTTCCACTCCCCCACCCCGGATACCCAGTTCCCCCGCCTGCCCGCCGGGTGCAGGTCGGGACCAGCCCGGGCTCCCCGCGCTGCCGCCGCGGCCGGTCCCGCATCGCGCGGTGTGTGGTGCCCTCCAGTGGAGCGGCGGCCGCGCAGCCCCGGCCCCGCACCGCAACCGTGAGCTGCATCTGCACATCCCATCCGTGCGCTCCACCTGCACATCCCATCCGTGCACTCCACCTGCACATCCCATCCGTGCGCTGCACCTGCACACCAAGGCCCTGCAAATCCGTGTACAGCACCTGAGCTCAGTGTGATGGGTGGCCACTCACTGCCCATGGCTCGGCACAGCACAGGCTGCAGTTGGCTCCTCCATCCCTCCCCAGGACGTGCCGGCAGCGCGGCTCTCCCAGCTGGAATCAGTCAATGCCAGGAGGAGGCAGCGCTGGCAGGTCAGTCTTTATTACTAAATAAATAGTCATATAAATCCTGTGCAAAAAACTGTGGCAAAACCATTGGCCTTGGTGGGCGGTGGGGGCCGTGCTTCCCACACCCAGCCCGCGTCCGAGGCTGCCGGCATGGCACAGCCAATGGCGCCAGCGTGGTGAAGGGAAGCGGTGGCACTGGAGTTCATCGGTGAGAGCCGAGACCTCCAGCATGGCCAGGGAAGGGCCAGAACCCCCCATCCAGGCTGGACACCCACTGGGACAGCAGCTGCTTGAGGGACGGAGGCTGCACGAATCCCTGAGGAGCAGACAAGCACCATCCAGCCCAGTTGCAATTCCGGAACTGCTCCGGTGGCCCAGGCAGAGTCCATGAGCTGCCAGCACCACTGTGCTAGAGCAGGGAGCTCGGGGCCTGGCCGTGCCGCCGCTCCCGCGGCTCCGCCGTGCCCATGGTCCCCAGCGGCACCACCACCTCCTCCGGCTGGCAGCTCTTGTTGAGCTCCACCACGCGCGGCACCACGGTCGACCAGCGATCTGTGGGGAGGGTGGGAATTGGCAGAGCCAGGAGCCTGTGGCTGCTCCCTGGTCAGCCCCCAAATCTGCTCTCAAGGCTCATCAGAGGCTGCAAGCAGCATCCCAAGGGATGCTCCCAGCCCACGGCACCACATTCACCTCCCCACAGATCCTGAGGGATGTTCCCAGCCCACAACATGGCGCTCACCTCTCCGTAGCCGGCCCATGGTGTGGGAGAAGCCGTAGTACTGGTATGTGTCATTCTTGCCCGGATCCTCACTGATGATGCCCAGATTCTGGTTCCAGTGAGACCAGTTCACCTCGTCCACCCTGCGGGGAAGGTCAGATCCAGAGGGGCTGCAGAGAGCGCCTGGGAGCCAGGGCAGCAGCTCTGGCATCCACCAGCAATTCCACCTGCCTCCAGATGAGAACAAAGGACCCTACAAAGGAGTGCATTGTGCTGGCTCCCCAAAACACTGCTGGCCATGGTGGGAGAGGCTTGGCTGCTCCCCAGCCCCCGAGGGCACCTGCCTTTACCTGAAGCACCAGCGGCGGTCTGGCGTCCCATCCGTGCCCTTCCCCACGGTGACCATCTCCCCTGAG